GTGATCACAAAAATCGTTTTTATTTATTTACTGATTAACGCTAAATTCATTAAATCACAGCAAACGTATTAGTTTTACATATAAATAACGATCCATTGGTTATTTCTTGCTATCAGTCTTTTCCTTTAAAGCAGTAAATTTGGAGCATTCAGGATTCTTGGGAGAAACATTATATTTCTATATGAAGATTATTCAAATATATGGTCATAATAGGAATCATTGTAAATAAGACTGCATAAAACACAGAGGATCATATAGAAAAATAGGTATACAAAATGTTTGTTATAACACTGATGAGCAAAAAAATGATCAAGAGTGAAATAAGACAAGTCAGGCAGAAAGGAGCGCTTGAGGTACTTTTATTAAGAAACGGAGGAGCAGTCCAAAGAACATTTAATGAGCTCAGTATGGGTTTACATTTCAGACAGGAGGCGAATAAAATGCTTATAGTCTGAAAAAAAAAACGCTCATCATCTGAACCACATCAGCTACTGTTTAAACTTCAAAAATAGTTTTAAAGTGGATAAAACAAACAAGGAAAGAAAAATCCGTTCTCAGACTGGAGTCAGAAAAAGGTCGGGTCAGAGGTCAGGAGAAGATGTTGCTGTCTGTCGGTCTGTCAGGTCAGGTGTCTGTCTGTTATGACAACAGTAACCTGGGGAACAAGAAGCTGCAGAGTTATTAACAGAAAGGGAACTCCTAACATCTCCTAACAGTTTTAATTTAAAATAAAAATCTGTCAGAGATGCTGAAGAGTCTGGACATCATTGCTTTACTCCTCAATGAGAGGAAACATGATGCCAGGCAATCTGTTGCCTGCTGAGAGACACAGTGCTGTGGAAACCTGTCAATGATTTAAAACCTCTAAATAACTTTACAGATTTCTACTTTAACAAATATTTTTTCCTTCCCTAAAATTTATGCAGTAAAAAAAAAAAATAACCCCAATTAAATCATTTTAAGTTTGTGGCTAAAAACGTGACAAAGTGTGAAAACAGTGGAGACGTTTCCAAGGCACTGTGGCTGAGGGCTTTTATTCTGAAAGGCATTATGTAATCAAATGTGTCTTAATGTTCAGTGATATGCAACACTTACCCGTCTCCTAGTAGGTACGGGGGCGTTTGTGGGACTCCTCCCGCGGAGGATCAGCCAGCATCACCTTCATCTTCACCCCATTGACGATCCGACCGTGGAGCAAGGCCTTGGCCTCCTCTGCACACTGAGAGACTCCATTTTAACACTCGCCATGATGCTTTGAACCTTCTTCACTCACTTGTCAGGAAGTGAAACAGACTCACCTGTCTGTCGGCGTACTTAACGTATCCAACGTTCCTTCCTGGAACCAAATGGACCTCGATCAGAGAACCAAAGCGACTAGAGGCAGACAGAGGGAGACGCGTCACACTGGCTGGATAATAATCCTTTTATCTGACTGTTCTTCAAATAGCCGAGTGCGGCGGCGTTTACCAGAACACGTCCTCAAGCACGTTGAGCGGCAGGGGGGAGGGGTTGAAAACGACAAACAGCCGCTCCTTGGTTTTACTGTCGGACGGAGCGAGCTTCTTCAGGGAAGGCAGGCTGAAGTCCACCTGGATCCGAGACAACGAGTAGCCCTGGTGGGAAAACGATCACAGTTCCTCCATTAGAGCACGGGGACAGGAAACGGGAACAAATGCTGCTCTGTGATTGGTCCAAATAAACTCTTCAGGCTAAAAATCAAAGGGATATAACTTTCTCTGGATGCTTACTGTCGCTAAAAAGCAGAGAAACTGGAAAAACTTACAGGCGATTTGACCGCCTGCCCGCAGGAGGCGCCGTTCCAGACCGTAGACATGATCTGAGCTGTGACCACCTGAGAGGCCATCCGACCTGCAGGGCTGCACACACATTCAGAGCTCGCATGAGCCAGGCACTTATCCTTAAACAAAACAAACCTTCTCTGTTTCCCCAATAGTCAAAGCTAATATCGTAATCAAACATATCAGGAGGAACCGTCTGAAAATGAATCGACTTCAGACGAACTGTTGATTAACAGCTTAGTAGATATAAATCTATTAACTTTGGACAATATGAATACCATCTCAGGGTGTTATAGATGGACATCTGATCTGCCAGGTTGTTTTTTTATTATTAAATGCCATTAATCTTTCTGTAGATGCCCAGTAAACTGCTGTGTCTCCAGTGCTCACCTCTCTCCATCGTCGTAGAAAGTTACTTGAAGTCTGTTGCCGGGCGGATACTCAAAGCCGTTCAGCTTCTCCTTGGCATAAACCGATGATCCCAGATTGTTGTAGCGAATCAGAGCGTAGCCCAGAGGCCCTGCGGGGAAAACAGAGGAG